GGCAAGCCCCCCTGCCTGACCCTGGGCTTGAAGGAGGCCCCCTGCTCTGGCTGGGGCAAGCCCCCCTGCCTGACCCTGGGCTTGAAGGAGGCCCCTGCTCTGGCTGGTACAAGGCCCCCTGCCTGACCTTGGTCAGGTTGCTCCGCCCCCTAGACACACCCGTGCTCCTTCTGCAATGGCCTCTGCAGTCCACCCGTGGGCAGGCACGAACTCCAGGGCTGCCGTCAAGATGCGGTCCTGCAGCTGCTCCTCACTCTCCTGATCCTCCTCCTCCTCGCCACCTTGGTCTGTGTACCTGAGACCCAAATACAAGAGACATGAGGACAGAGCCGAGCACACCTCATTTCATGCCCACATCTGCCATGCAAAGTGGGCCTGACCCCCAAGTACGGACCCTCGCTTTTCGAAGCACATTTTTATGTGACGTTTTAATGCCAACAGGAAAAAAAGGTATCATCCTTCCCCTCTCTTACAGTCACCGAGTAAGGATCTAGTGGTCAGCAAGGCGTGTGCTATAAAAGCAAATGCTTCCAGGACATTGTGGGATGCCATCAAGTCAATTATGCCTCACGGGCCCCCTACATGACCCTACCCCACACCACAGAGTTTCCTGAGGCTGTACTCTTTACAGAAGACCACCTGCACTTTCTCCTTTGGAGCAGCTGGTGGGTACAACCAGCAAATTATTCTGTTACCAGCTGAGCGATTAAGTCCCCCAGGGTTCCTAAACACTGCCACAGCACCGCGGATTTCTCCACTTAGAGCTCGTACTGTACTGAGCTTACTCAGGTTCTTCGACCTTTATTTGCACCCAGTGGTATGGAGGCAGGCATTGTTCACAGTATTTACAGGGCGTGCACTTTGCCACGCGTAGATGTCCTCAAGTCAATGGATTTTGGCTCCTGCTAACTCCATTCGACACAGCAGCACTGTAATCTTTATGGGAGCAGATTGCCAGTCCTTTCTTCCTCACAGCCACTGGGTGAGCTGAACCACCAAGCTTTTGGCCAGCAGCCAGGCCCTTCACCATTGTGGCCGGCAGACTCATCTGGCATGCAGTGGATTCTCAAAAACTATTTGTTAAAGTGAAATAAAAGGTACTTTAATCAGGCTACCAGATAAATGACCATAAGCGCCAATTTCAAGTCTAGAGAAGTTTCTTAGTGACAACATTGAGAAGGGAAAAAAAGAGCAAACAGAAATAGAAGTTGTTTTTACCTCTGGGGGTTAGTTTGCTCCCACCCACGAATCAGAATGTTAAATGTGCATTTCCTTTGACTTGGTGCTTGGTGCTCCCTGCTCTAAGATTACTGTTCTTTTTTATTCCCATAAAACCACTGCCACCGAGTCAATGCTGACTGACGGTGGTGACCTGACAGGACAGAGCAGAACTATCCCATGGGGTTCCCAATGCTGCACATATTTGTACTACATTTTTCTCCTGGCTTGTGGGTTCAGACCCGCCCTTTGGGTTGGAGGTCAAGAAGCACTTTAACCACTGCACCTCCCCTAAAGACCCGTCAGAGAAAGATGGAAGCAATACACTGTGATACAGCTGTTGGCAAAATATTCTACCAAACAAAACCCAAGCCCATGGCCATGGATAGATTCAACTCTTGGCAGCCCGCCATCGCCTCTGAGGCTGTAAATCTTCGCAGGATGCTGCCTGACTTTCTCCTGCAGAGCAGCTGGTGGACTCCAACTGCTGAACTTTCTATTAGCAGACTGATACGGCATACATTGTGCCCCTAAGGGCCCTAGGACGTTATACAGCCATTAAAATAATGCAGACTTTGAGAGATGCTTCAAAATGTACTGATGGATGAAAATAACACTATAACCAAACACAACCCAAACACCCCACCAGTTTCTGGAACAGTGTGTATAGTGTATAATAAAAGCAATCATTCTTTGTGCACATAAATTTATATATGAAACATGCATAGAGAAACATCTAACATGTCATTCAACAAAATATTCAGGGTTTATACGGATGTGTGATTTCTACTAATTTTTCAAATTTTCTTGTTCTTAAGTTCTATAAGAAAGAGATTTAAAAAAAAAAATCAAATTCAGCCTTAAAAACGATGGAAAGGGAGAAGGAGGGATGGAGTAGAGAGAAAGGACTAGAAATATCGAAGCATGAAAAACGGCCCAGAAACGGGGGAACTAGGTCTGGTGCTCGCTTACCTGGGGGGTGAACGTAGAGACTCTGCACTAGGTTCTTCTGCTCCCTGAGTCTCAGAGTGTTGCTGCGAGGAAGGCAACGGAGGAGTTCGCTGCTTCTGCTCATTTGAGGACCTCAGCCGCATTGCTGACGCATGGAAGGTGCATGGCAGGAGAGGTGGTGGCAGGCGGGACACTGAAACAGAAACCAGGCTGGTCAGTGAGGGACACTTACCAGAGAACCTTTGAGACTCAGAGGCCGCAGGGCACTCGAGATGGGGAGGAGGGGAGAAAGCAATGTGGGGGCAAAAGTTGTGAGGACTTGGTCTCTAGACCTATTTCTACTATTTACTAGCTATGAGGTAATAGGCAAACCACTTTCTTCAATATACATGATTTTAAAACAAGCAAATAATCCTTACACAATGGGAAGATCTGAGCACTGATTTCTCGGCCACTTTTATCTTGACAGGTTCTAATCACTAGCTGCTTTTGCACCTGCAACACTCTATTTTCTTTACAAAAGGGCTTTCCAATTGTTATTTTCTTTCCCAATATTATATTGCAAAAAATTTGAAACATGGTGGGGATTGTATACCAATGAACAAATTTTTCTTTTGCTTTTCAAAGAGAAGAGCGAACTGGGCGGGAGGGGTGGGCAGGGAGAAAAATGCAACATGAATGAATGGGAATCCAAAATCTCTGTAAATGTTAATTAAAATTAATAAAATAAAAATAATTTCAAACACACAAACAGAAAGAATTGTGGAATGGATACCTACATGCCATCTACACTTCACATCCTCATAACATCCTTCATCTTATTTTCCTTATGTTTTTTGTTATACCTCTCAGTGTTCTTCAGCCCTAAATACTTAGGCACATCATTAACCAGAGTTCTGTAATTTTTAGACTTGTTTTATTGAGGTGGTATTTACATATATTTCTCAGCTCTTAAGCATGCCATTTTATTAGTTTTAACAAAAGTACTCACTTGTGTTATCTCTAATACCTCTCTAGATAAAGCATCACCCAGAAAGTTCTCTCATGCTCTCTCTACACAGGATTCACTACACACGGTTTGAAAATTTTTCATCCTAGATTAGAAGGAGAATTGATGCCTTTGAGTTCTGGTGCTGGAGAAGAGTACTGAGAGTACCATGGACTGCTAGGAAAACAAACAGATTCATCCTGGAAAGGGTTAAACCGGGTGGCTCCTTGGAGGCAAGGATTCTGAGGCTCTGTCTAACATACTTTGGACATGTTGTGAGGAGAGACCGGTCCTTGGAGAAGGACATCAGGCTTGGGAGGGAGGAGGGACAGTGCAGGAGGGGAAGGCCCTCTCTGAGGTGGATTGATTCAGTGACTGGGGAATTGGGATGGGTGTGTCAGAGACAGTGCGATTGGCACAGGACAGAGCAGAGTGTAGGGCTGTTGTACATAGGGTCGCTATGAGTCGCGACTCGATGGCACATAACAACAACAGCAGCAGCTCAGAATTTCACGGAAATGCAACCTTACAGTTTGTATTTTTCCGGTGTAAAAATGATTTCACTTATATTTTAAGATTGACCCCTCACTCACTGCCATCATTGTTAGCTGCCTTTGACTATGACCCACAGTGGCCCTATGAACACGGATCTGAACCCTGTCCTATCCTGTCCATCCTCTCACTTCCTGACTCACCAGAGCCCACTGCTGCAGCCACTGAATCAATCCACCTGGTTGAGTCTCTTCCTCTTTCACCGACCTTCCACTTTACCAGGCATGAAGTTCCTCCTTCCTAGCAACGTGCCTAAAGTCATCCCTGCCTCCAAGGAGCACTCTGGCTGCACTTTCTCCAAGACATATTTGTTTGTTCTTTTGGTAGTCCATGGGACTATATTCAGTACTCCAACGCCACAGCTCAAAAGCATCAATTCTTCTGGACAACTGATTCATCCTTATTCATTGTCCAGCTTTCAGATGCATAGCAAGCAGAAAGACCACAACATGAATCGGGTGCACTGCCGTTGAGTCAGAGCCAACTCATAGCTGACCCTCCAGTGGGTTTTCAGAGGCAGTAAATTACACAAGAGGAGACTGCTCATCTTCCTCCATCGGAGTTCCTGGTGGATTCAAACCCACTGCCTTTAGATTTATAGCACAACTCCCTACAGACTACACCGCCAGCGTTCCCTAAATCGATCCCCATTTTGTGTAAATCAGCAGATCAAGTAAATCCATAGATCTAGAGATACTCCAAGAAGTGGGAGAAAAGACCTGGCAATCTGCTTCTGTGAAAAAATGACTAATAAACGCTGTGGGGCCACTCTCTGTCACACAGGCTCGTAGTCACAAGTGACTTGGTAGCAAACAGGTATTTTATTAAGTCCCTGAGTTGCAAAAAGTTAGTACTAGTTTCCTAACCTAGAAGCTGGTGATTGACACCCAGCTAGCACCACTCTGTAGACCTGGAAAAAGTGCCTCCATAAAGATTACAGGCAGGAAAATGCTAGAGTGGTTGGACTAACACCGGGTCATTGTTAGGATTATTGAATTCAACTGGACAGCATCACGGGTTTTGACTGGTTGTTGGATTTTTTTAAAAAAAATGTTCCATTAAGAAATACCATTCTTTTTGGCAGACACCTGATCTGCTTCAGATATTTTGAGACATGACTTTATTAAAAACAGAGAAATGGGCTGGCTAAGGTTATAGGCATTACTTTTATCAAACATAAAACTTTGTATGAAACAACAAAACGAGTACTCATTTTTAAGCATCTATGGAATAACTCTGGTAATCATTTTTAAAAATTTTTTTATTTTATTATCTTTTGTGTATACCGCCAAAATGGATCTGACTTGTACAGGAGGAGATTGCTCCTTCTTCTCCAGCAGAGCATCTGGTGGATACGAACCACGTATCTCTGAGATTGCAGGGTAGCTTCTTGCCGCTAGGCCACCAGAGCTCCCTGTGGTAATAATGATTTTGAAAGGAAGGAACACAGAGTTGTTGTTGTTGTTATGTGCCGTCGAGTCACCTGCGACTCATAGCGACCCTATGTACAACAGCCCTAAACTCCACTCTGTCCTGTGCCAATCGCACTGTCTCTGACACTCCCATCCCGATCACCCCAGTCACTGAATCAATCCACCTCATAGAGGGCCTTCCTCTCCTGCGCCGTCCCTCCACCCTCTCAAGCATGATGTCCCTCTCCAAGGACCGGTCTCTCCTCACTACATGTCCAAAGTAAGTTAGACGGAGCCTCAGAATCCTTGCCTCCAAGGAGCCACCCGGTTTAACCCTCTCCAGGACAAATCTATTTGTTTTCCTAGCAGTCCATGGTATTCTCAGTACTCTTCTCCAGCACCACAGCTCAAAGGCATCAGTTCTCCTTCTATCCTCCTTGGTCATTGTCCAACTCTCTGATGCATAACAGGTGATTGCGAAGACCATGGCCTGTATCAGACGCACCTTAGTCTCCAGAGAGACACCACTGCTCTTCAGCACTTTGGAGAGGTCCCTAACAGCAGACTTTCCCATGGCAATGCGCCTTTTAATTTCCTGGCTGCTGGTGCCAAGACTGTTGACTATGGAGCCAAGCAAACTAAAGCTGTGTACAATCTCAGTCTCTTCACCATCCATCCTGATGCTGCCGATTGGTCCAGTGGTGAGAATCTTTGTCTTCTTGACATTGAGCCTCAATCCATATTGTAGGCGGCAGTCCTTGACACTCTGCAGCAGGTGCTTCAGGTCCTCCTCAGTTTCCACATAACGCAGATTGTTGATAAATCGTCCACCAATCCTGACCCCACATTACTCCTCATAGAACCCAGCCTCCCGGATAATCTGTTCTGCATATAGGTTGAAAAGGTATGGAGATAGGATGCATCCCTGGCGTACGCCCTTCCCAATTTTGAACCATGCAGTGTTCCCTTGCTCTGTTCTGACGACTGCCTCCTGGTCCAAGTATAAGTTTCGCATTAGAACGATCAAGTGTTCTGGGATTCCCATTCTTCTCAGAGTCAGCCACAGTTTGTTATGATCTACACAGTCAAATGCCTTTGCATCATTGACTTTCAGGAACACAGAGTAGTATGTGCAAAATATTTAAGTGTTGTTAGCTGTCATCAAGTAGACTACAACTCATAGCAATCCTACCAACAGATCTGCACCTTGCCCTATTCTTACCATCCTCATCATCTCAATCATACTCAAGCCCACTGGAGCAGTCAATACATCAAGATGTCAATCTATCTGTAGGTCTTCGTTTCTTTCTGATCCTCCACCTTTCCCAGCATGTCCCTCTCCAAGGATTGGTTCCTTTTGAGAAGATGCCCAAATAAGTGACACAAAGATTCACCACTGAGACAGAGTTGTTCTACTGGCAGTCCACAGGATGTTTTCTTTTCCAACATCACAGCTCAAAGGCATCTATTCTTCAGTTTTTCTCTATTCACTGTCTAACCATCAGAGGCATAGGAAGCAACCAAAAAGACCATGGCTTAAATCAGATGAACCTTAAACTGACATCCTTGTCGTTTGGCACTTTGGAGTGGTCCTTGACAGACCATTTTCCTAATGTAGCACGTCTTTTATTTTCCTGATGGCTGTGTCAATTGTGGATTCGAATGAAGTTAAACTCCTGACAACTTCAATCTTCTCGCCATCTATCATGATGCTGCCTATTGGTCCAGTCGTAAGGATTTTTGTTTTCTTGATGTGGAGATGTAACCTATGTTGAAGGCTGTAGTGTTTAATCTGCAGTAAGTGTTTCAAGTCCTCCTCACTTTCAGCAAGTAAGGTTTCTTCAGCTGCATAACACAGATTAATGGATGAGTCCTCCTTCAAACCTGATGTCTTATTCTCTCTCATATGTAGTCAGCTTCCCACATGTTCTGTTCAGCACACATACTGAACAGGTATGGAGAGAGGATGCAACTCTGAACACACACCTTTCTTGATTTTCAACTATGCAGTTCTCCTTTGCTCTATTTGGACAATTGATTCTTGTCTATACATATAGGTTTCACATGAGAACAATTATTCTCTGGGATGCCTACTTTCCCCCCAATGTTAGCCAAAATCTGTTATGATACACACAAATATCTTTGCATAATCAATAAACATAAGTAAAAAAAAAATCTCAAAAAAACCCATAAGTAAACATTTTTTTTAGTATTTTTTTGCCTTCATTCAACAGTTATTTGGCCATCCATATTTATGTATCTGTACCAAAAAAAGAGCAAATATTCACAAAATGTTGAAGGGAAGTCCCAAATTATAGACTTTTGGAACCACCCTGATCACAGGAAAGGGAAACATTTTTTTCATTAGTTATATATTTATGACAATGTGTAAATGAATCCTATTTAAGGGTAATACTGGTTTTTAGATGACAGTGATAAAAAGTTTTCTTTCAAAATTAACAATATTTTTTAAAAGTTTTAAATTAGAAAGAATTTTTATATGTTTAGTTGTTTGTCCTTAAGTCGATTCTGACTCATAGCTACCCGATATGGTGGAGTTAAGCTGTCTCATAAGTTTTCTTGGGCAGGGAGAGTTCACCAGGTCTTTTCTTCCACAGAACTGCTGGTGGGATCAAACTTCGAGGCCAAGTGCTTCACCTTTGCGCCACCAGGGATCCTCACTTTGTATATGACATCATATGTTGTTGTTATTGTTGTTAAGTGCCAGTTCAGTCGTAGGCGACTCATAGCAAGCGACCCTATGAGTGAAAGTCCTCAACACTTGTGTGACTTTCATCCTTTCTCCAGGTTCATAGTTTCTAGAGGCAAGCTATTATGGAAGTGGATGCCACTTCTGCTTCCAGGCTTGTTTTAATCACTTCTGCTTCCAGGCTTGTTTTAATCGGGAAGCTCCACCAAACATTGTCCACCATGGGTAACCATTATCACATTTGACACATTAGTGTCACAGTGTTTGGCTTCACAGCAACCACAAGTTACCTCTGTATGGCAAATGGACACACCGGGGCTATACGACATCTCTTTAATATGCAAGAGGCCGCATCCATGCAGCAGACACTGAGATTCACATACGAATATAAATTACACTACTGGTGAACTCAAGTCATTGCTGGCGTGAAACTGTAAATCACAGAGGACTGATTGCCCGTCTTCCTCCAGGGAAGCCTCAGGTGGATTCTCACCGCCCAAGAGGCTCAGTCTTCGGGTTAGCAGCGCAATGCCCCTGTGGACCACCCCGCCTGGGCTCCCGCCAGCGTTAGTGAAGTAGTGGGAAATGACTGGTATTTGGGGAAGAGTGCACTAAGGCGTTCTGTGGCTGTTCACAGTATCTTTCAAGTGATCCTGGACGCTAAGTTGAATTAAACGAGTGAGTCTGACTCTGCCAGTTCTGCAGACGAGAAGCTGTGTGCCCTAGCCCTCTTTGGGGCTCCGTTAACATAAATGGCAAGGTCTCCTCCGCAGCCCTGACAGCTGCAAGTTGGGGATCGAAACACAGCTAAGCAGCCAGTGGAGGAGTTAGTTGCCCTTCACTTCACCTTGCTGAGCGGCCACCGCGGCGGCCTTGTCGCCCTGAGCGCGGCCCGGATCGGCCTCGCATCCCCTTCCCGTCCTCCCCGCTTCCCAGTTGGGCTGTCCTCTCACCAGGCCGGCACCGCAGCTGCAGAAGCCTCCAGCCTGTCCGACCGAACGCCCCTGACAGCCCCGCGGCCGCCATCTTGGAAGCGGGCACGTCTCCGCGGCGGCGTGGATGACGTGGCCACGCACAGCGCCGGCACCCGATCCCGCGCTCCCGGCGCCGCTGGAGCCTCTTTTTCTCGCGAGAGGCTGCGGGGAAACGGGGAGTGGGTGGACGGCCAGGTGGAGCGCGTGCCGAGGAACCACACGTCCTCCAACTGCTCCTCCATTACCCTCCTTTGTCCTCCTAGCTCTTTATTTCCCCGCTTTCCCTCATTCCCCTGCCCTCCCTCCGTGGGGACATAGCCACGGCCGCTGCCCGGAGGACCATCCTGGGCTGAGACCTTGAGAAGCTGGTGACCGGCCCGACCGGCCCCAGGCTAAGGCCGCCGCTCCCTGCCTTTCGGGGGTCCCTCATCTCTCGCACACGGCCTGTCCCCAAGGCCTTGGAGGCAGCGCGCCGAGCAGGGAGAGAGCCCTGAGCTGGAATCGGGGAGACCTGATCGTCCGCCGTGGGGACCTGCCAGGCTTCTGACGTTGGGGAGCTGCGGTTCTGACCCTTGACAGTGCCTGGCAGCAAAGCATGAAAGCCTGGAGGTACTTGACCCCATAGCTTGTTAATGCTGAGCCCGCAGCTTATCAGAACTTCCAAGGGGTTTAGTTGGTTTATTTCTTCCAAGTTGGAAAACCCCTAGATCCTTAGATTTAGTGTATTATATATGGATGCATATGCTATATTGATTTACCATAAGTACCGAGATAATTACAGTACTGTATGTCTGGGTGGAGTCCAGAACTTTATTTTAATTAAAGTGTCCTGTGTGCTTAGTCATTGAACAACAGTGCAAATGTCGAATGCTTCCTGGGGGTAAAGGAGAGGCAAAGTAGGAGCAAGGATGTTTGATATTTGGGGCATGTTGTTGGAAGGTGCCAGTCCCTGGGAGAAGAAGACATCTTGCTAAGAAAGGTCTAAGATCGTGAAAGAGGAGGGACTGCAGCAGTGGCCGGTGAGGTTGGGCAAGGTTTGGATCTCTTCTTCGTAGGGTTGTAGTAAATTAACTTCTTGGCACCTACCAGCAACACATGGTTTTTAGATTGGGCCGGTAATTGACAACAGGAGCCAAGCAAGCCATTCTGTAAATTTTGTGTTTGGAGTTACAGCTTTGTTTTTCTACCTTTTCTGGAGTCTTCTCTAAGTACCCTCCTGTGTTTGGTCTAAGCCAGACCTGCTTCCCACTGTTCAAATTTCAGATCTTTATCTCTTCATTTAGCAAAGGGAAGACTGGTCTCTCTGTGAGGTTTTGTTTTCCACCCATCTGTGGCTGAGCCTGACCTCTGAACACTCAAGTTCAATTTGGGTATTATTTCTGGCACACTTGACTCCTGACACATACCCAGCAGCCTGGAGGAAAAGTCTTCCATTTCTTTTCCTGATTCTTTCTCAGCTTCTTTATTTTCTTTTTTTAATTCTCCTTTGTTTCCATCAGCTCATTTTTAGTTGAAATTTGCCTTTCTGACAAAGAATTGTCAGTATCTCTGTAGGTACCTAACCTAAAAGAATTAGATTCTTGTCTGCAAACCCAAACTTGAACTTGGGCATTTTTGACTCCCTACACCGTTTGAAGAGACCCAGTGTCTCTCTCAAGATTTGACGTGTTCTGAATATCTTAAAAAGAAACAAATAGCTTCATAAAGGCTTGAATCATCCTTCCAATAATATTTTACAAGAGTCAAGGACATATGGGACTCAGCAGAGTTGGAGAGGTGCCTAAAAGGCAGTGCCTTTGCCACCTCATTGTAGATATTACACAGGCCTGTCAATCACAGCTTCTGAAAATGTTGGCCTAGCTACCAGGCATTTTTCCTTATTCTTATTTTAGGGACAGAAGCCCAACGACCTGACCATAGAACTAAGATGACGGATTTTGACTTTTAGGCACTTAAAAGCATGTTGTCTCTCATTTTACTTGGAAAATGCTGCCTGAAAGTGGTGGCCAGCCAATCTGGTTCATTTTTGAGAGTTAATGTTTAATAAATGCATCTTAGGAGTTCCTGTTGGCTGTTTGGGAATATGCTCTGTACACTTTTTTCAGTCTTCTAATTTACTATACAAGCCCGCTGGATGGAGTGCTGTCTAAGATGTCACGAAGTGTTGTTTTTACCAACTACCATTGAAGAGGCAGCTTCACCTCACTCTCTGCCCCCCAGAGGGCCCTCCTGTACGCATAGCTGAAAATGAGAAGTAAAATTTATAGAAATGCTCCTCCCAGGCCCTCCTTTATAGCAAAGGCAAATACATTTTTTTTTTATTTTTTTGTTTTAATTTTTATTTTATTATTTGTGTTTGTGTATCATCAAATCAGATCTGACTGGTACAGGAGGAGATTGTCCCTCCTTCCCTGGCAGAGCATCTGGTGGATTTGAACTGTGTGCCTCTGGGATTGCAGTTGCAGCTTCTTGCCACTAGGCCACCAGAGCTCCCCTTGCAAATACATTTTCCACAGAAAAGTAGAAGCTCAAATTTCTCTTAAAACCGCATTTCACTGAAGACTGTCACCAATACCTAGAAGACACATGTATATATTCAAAATTTGTATTCCTTAAAACTGTCTTGTGTGTTGGCGAAAAGGTTTAGACATCTGACTTTTTCTCCAGCTGATGAGTGACCTTTCGTCCCATATTTTCTTCTTGAGGGTTTTCTGTGAGTACAGTGTGGAACTGTAGTTGTCAGTGGTGGCTAAGTTAGTCTGTCATTCTTTTCTTTTTGTTCCAAGGGAGAACCTGTGCCAGCATAAGTCTACAAAAAACACCCCAGCATACATTTTCTGTTATCTCTTGTCTTTCTTGGCTGATTCTTAAATGTGAAACTGAGTCGAGGTTAAAGATTTACAATGGTTTTCTCTCAATATTAGGTGATAGTTGAACACTTAAAAGTATCAGTTCTTGATTGTGAGCTTTTTAGAAATTTAAAAACAATTAAGTGAAGAATGCTGCCTATCTGACAGCACTTGACATCCTTTTCCAGATGTTTGCAATAGTAACAGAATAAAGCAAAGACCGGCATTCTCTATAGAAGAAACTAGATAAAAATTATAGTGAAAAGACAAAGGTTTTTTTTATAGAACAAGGAATGATGGACATTGGCTGGAACTAATCTGTGTGAACAAGAGTGGTGGGAAGTACAGGCAAAGCACGTACGGAAGACTTGAGTGAAGACAGTGAAGTTTTCACTCTGCTCTAGAAATTAAACCTTTGGCGACTCTTTTAGAAAACTTTTAGATCAAAGTTTTATAGTATTAGAGAACAGAGTCACTGAAAAGTAAATATATTTCAAGAAGGAAGAGTATCCTACAAAGTATGGCTTTTAAATTAAGTTACAGTGTCTGTAGCTAATTGTGACTCAGTAGTCCACCTCTGCAGAAATCACTCAAGTGGTCAGTATAAGGCTAATTTATGCCTGGCCTCTCCACTGCAATTTCAGTCTTTGTTTTATTTGAGCCTTTTATGTCTGAAACTTGATGCCATTAATGTTTAAGAAAGAAGGAAGGAGTTGTGAGTAGAATGCTGTCCTCTCCTGACCTCATTTCACTGCCGTGCCTGCTACACTTACCTCAGTATCAAGTAGAGGAGAAAGTTGACCCACAGAGGACAGTTTCCATGCTGGGTTGTGCAACCTGGTGGATATAAGTCCCATCTCATATCACTAATAGTTGTGTGACCCGGGCAAAGTCAACTGCTTCTGTTTCCTTACTGTAAAATGTGAATGAGCTCTAAAGTTATTCTCAGGTTCAGATAAGAAAATGTACATAATGTGCTTTTAATAGTAAATATAAACATATTTATAGGGATATAATAGTAAATAT